AGTCTCCTGCTTCCACCTCCCAAGTAGCTGGGACCACAGGCACCCGCCACAACGCCTGGCTATTTTTTGGTTGCAGCCGTCATTGTTGTTTGGTGGCCCGGGCTGGATTTGAACCCGCCAGCTCAGGTGTATGTGGCTAGAGCCTTAGCTGCTTGAGCCAAAGGCGCTGAGTTGAAATTTTTTAATTTTGATAAAGTCCAATTTGTTTATTTTTCATTTTCTCACTTTATACTTTTGCTGTCATATTTAAGAAACCATATTGTGTGGCTCGGCGCCTATAGCTCAACCGGCTAAGGCGCCAGCCACGTACACCTAAGGTGGCGGGTACGAATCCCCAGCCCGGACCCGCCAAACTACAATGATAGCTGCAACCAAAAAATAGCCGGGCGTTGTGGCGGGCGGTCCCAGCTACTTGGGAGGCGGAGGCAGGAGACTCGCTTGAGCCCAGGAGTTGGAGGTTGCTATGAGCTGTAATGCCATGGCACTCTACCCAGGGGGACAGCTTGAGGCTCTGTCTCAAAAAAAAAAAGAAACCATATTGTGTGTTTTGAATGAAGACTTCCCCTATATTCCTTTGTCCTTTTCATTTAGCCATCTGGAATTTCCAGTGTCTTTTTGAATGTTGAAGGACACAAATAACATATGAGGATTGTAGTTCACCTTCTTCCAAACTAATTTGAAAAAGAGTAAGATTTTTGTGAAGTAGCATTCTGAATTGATACAGTATTGACAGAACAAAACCTGTATGAATACTCTTCATCATTTTTGTATATATGCATATTTCTTGTTTTACCAGTCAGGTTGAAGCTCCTCAAAGGCCAATGTAATTTCTCATCCCTTATTTCTCTAGCACTTTGCAAAGTATATTTGAATTCAAAAGATACTCTGTGTGTGTGTGTGTTTGCTTTAATGATTATAATTATGCCCAAGCACTAGTTACTAGTTGATTCCATGGTAGGATTAAGCCAGGAAAGTAGGCATAAAGCCCAGGCTAGGCAACAGCTTTCAGGAGTTACAGTATGTTACAATTCCCTCTTCATCTGTTTTCCACAGTCCTTCTCAGTAAATCTGCAGTGTTCTGGTTTACCTGAAAGGCTCTCAGGGGAGCACCATCCTTAGAAATGGCATCACTCTATTTCTATACCTGGAGATGCTTTGTCGACCTCCTTTTTTTTTGGAGACAGAGTCTCACTATGTAGCCCTTGGTAGAGTGCCATGGTGTCACAGCTCATAGCAACCTCAAACTCTTGGGTTTAAGCAATTCTCTTGCCACAGCCTCCCAAGTAGCTGGGACTACAGGTGCCCGCCACAACGCCTGGCTATTTTGTTGTTGTTGTTGCAGTCGTCATTGTTGTTTAGCCAGCCTGGGCTGGGTTCGAACCCACCAGCCTCAGTGTGTGTGGCCAGTGCCTTAACCCCTGCACTACAGGCACCAGTTTGACCTATTTTTCCTGATCATCTCCTATAAGCAGAGCTTGAGATGTGTATGGGAGAATTCCAGCTCTTTGATTATACATAATTCTATATATTTTCCTTGCTTTGGAGTGGGTGCAGTTATCTAAAAAGTACCCATTACAGCTTCTTCTCAACATCATTTTCTCCTTGCTTGAGGTTCTCCTTTATTCAGCAAGTATGTATTAAATAACCCTATGGAAGGGCTGGGCACTGGGTCTTGGTACTGCAGAGAATAATAGCATAGTCCCTGATTCAAAGCAGTTTATAATCTAGGGCTACAGAGGTAGGGGAGATGGCAGAGGAAATTGTCAATAGTAGAGAAGGCCAGAAAGGATGTGTAATTATGGAAGTAAGACCAAATCCTAAATAATTACAATGCAGAGTAGATTCAGATACATACAAGGGAATGGGAGTAACCACAGTTGGGAAGAGACCATTTTGATATATCTTAGTTCTTTTGTTGCTCTCACCCTCAGCACCTAATATAGTATGTTCTTCTTCTTGTTCACTTAGTAATTTAACAAATATTTATTGAACATCTCCTATGTGCCAAGTACTGTTCTGGGTGCTGAGGATATAGCAAAGAGTTTCTATTAGAATGAACAGGGAAGAAAACAAACAAAAAAGAACTTTAGAAAGTGACACATGGACTTACGTGACTAAGTTTTATAGTAGTTGTATAAAAACCTCTCACCTGACTGGCCTTTTGGTTCTTTTTGACTCATACTCTAAAATCATGCTTGCTGGGCCACAAATCATGGGCCCTTGAGTAACATAGGCAGTAAAAAAATCAAGGAATCAATAAAGGCAACTGAGTTCAACCCTCTCGTTTTGTAGAGGAGGAAATGGCCCAGAAAGCCGAGGAGGCCCTATGTTCAGATGTGGCGTTGGGCAGAAAACCCCTTGACATTAGCAAGTGAAGTTTAGACTTTGGACATTTTATAGAATAATTTGTTTTCTTAGAGATTTCAACTTCTAGTTTAGTATAAGGTAAAGTACCAGAATATTATTGACAAGAATAAGGCAATAACCATGAAATTTTCTTTGAAATACTTTTCCAATTTTGGGTCCAAAGGAAGCCAATTCAATAGAATATTGTTGAAGAATCAGTCTTCTTTTGGTGTTCTGTTGTTTTATTTCAAAAAGTTATTCCTCACCTCCCTTTTTAAAATTGTGATTAAAAAAAGGTAACATAAAATTTGCCATTTAAACCATTTTTATGTGCGCAAGTCAGTGTCACTAATTACACATAATGTTGTGCAACACTTGCCAATATTTATTTTCAGAAGTTTTTCATCACCCCAAACAAAAATTCTGTAATCATTAAACAAACACTCTCCATTCCCTCCCTCCAGCCTCTGATAACCTCTAATTTACTTTATTTATTTTGATACAGGGTCTCACTTTGTCACCTGGGCTAGAGTGCAGTGGCATCAGCATAGCTTAATGCAACCTCAGACTCCTGGGCTCAAGCAATTCTTCTGCTTCAGTTTCCCAGAGTGTGCTAGGATTCTAGACATGAGCTACCATGCCCGGCCAAAAGTTTAAAATTTTGATGAAACCAAATTTATTTATTTATTTTTCTTTTGTTTCTTATGCCTTTGGTGTCATATCTAAAATTTTATTGGCTCAGCGCCCACAGCTCAGTGAGTAGGGGACTGGCCACGTACACTGAGGTTGCAGGTTTGAGACTGGCCTGGGCCTGCTAAACAACAATGACAACTGCAACCAAAAGATGGCTGGGCGTTGTAGCAGGCACCTGCAGTCCCAGCTACTTGGGAGGCAGAGGCAGGAGAATTGAGCCCAGGAGTTGGAAGTTGCTGTGAGCTGTGACGCCACAGCACTCTACCCAGGGCAACAGCTTGAGGCTCTGTCTCAAAAACAAACAAACAAAAAAGACATGAAACTATAAAGATACTAAAGAGAGTGCAGGGAAAACGCTTGAAGAAATTGGCCTGGGAAAATATTTTATGAGGAGGACCTCCCCCTCCGCCTGGCAACTGAAGCAACACCAAAATATATTACTGGGATCTGATCAAAATACAGTGCTTGCATTCACATTTTCTCTGCTCACATCTCATCTTTTTTTTTTTGCAGTTTTTTGGCCAGGGCTGGGTTTGAACCTGCTACCTCTGTGACTAAGTTTTAGAGTAGTTGTATAAAAACCTCTCACCTGACTGACCTTTTGGTTCTTTTTGACTTATTCTAAAACATGGGGCTAGTGCCCCCCTCCTTTGAGCCACAGGCGCCGCGAGTCTCACTTTTCTTATGCTAATATTCTGTGACACTTGGTTCGCTCTTATCTTGCAGTGTGTTTGCTTACTTAGTATCCTAAGTAAGTCTGTTTCTATGGCCTGTTCAATATGTCCTCTGCTCATGCCTTACTTTCCTACATTAAGACTAAATTGTGCCACCCGCTGCCCCCTCCCCCATATACACAAGTCCTAACCACCAGTACCTCAGAGTGTGACTGCTATCCTTCTAAGTAGAGGAGATTAGGACACACACAAGAGACACCAGGGGTATGCACAGAACAAAGACTATGTGAGGACTCAGTGAGAAAGTGAGTAAGTCAAGGAGACAGGCTTCAGAGCAAACCAACCAGGCCAGTGTCTTGATCTTGGACTTCTGGCCATCATAATTGTGAGAGAATAAAATTCTGTTGTTTAAGACAGTCTGTTATTTTGTTATGGTAGCCCTAGCAAACTAATACACCTAGGAGATGCATATAAATGGGGGAAAAGTACCATTTTCCCATAATCTTCTAATTAAAATTTAGCATTTCAATTATATTTATTTATTTATTTATTTATTTATAAACAGAGCCTCACTTTGTCACCCTCGGTAGAGTCCCTTGGCGTCATAGCTCACAGCAACCCTAAACTCTTGGGCTCAAGTGATCCTGTTGCCTCAGCCTCCTGAGTAGCTGGGACTACAGGCACCTGTCACAACGCCCAGCTATTTTTAGAGACAGGGTCTCCTATTTGCTCAGGCTGGTCTTGAACTATGGTTCAGGCAATCCACCTGCCTTGGCATTCTAGAGTGCTAGGATTACAGAAGTGAGCCACTGTGCCTGGCCTACACAGACTGGGTATTTTATAATGAACAGAAATTTATTTGGCTCAGGCTCTGAAGATTGGGTAGTCCAAGATAGAGAGGCCATGGTGTGGGCCTTCTGCTGTATTGTAATGCCGTGGAAAGCTTCACACGGGGGAGAGAAAGGCAGAGAGAGAGAGAGAGCTAACTCATCCTTTTATTAAGAACCCACTCTTGTAATAACTAACCAAATCACAAAATAAGAGCATAATTCTGTTCATGAGTAGAGACCCCTCATGGCCTAATCACCTCTTAATAGTCCCACCTTTCAACACTTGCATTGGGAATTAAGTCTCTAACACACAAATATTGAGAGATGCATTCAAACCACAGCAGTTACCTATATAGCTATTGGGCCAATCTTGAGATTATTAAAATTTTCTGTATCATTTTCTTATTTCACTTCTCCCAGCTGACTAATTAAAAAGCATTACTTAAGAACCTACGTTGTACTTACCTGGCAGGGGAGATACCATGATCACGAAGGTGGTTTTCCCAGGGCAAGGCTTATCCATTGCACTCTGGATGTGCTGACCCCTGCAATTTCCCTAAAAGTGGAAAACTCAACTGCATAATTTATGATAATGGGGGACTGCGTTCACGTTTTCCCCTGTTAAAAAAGAGAGAGAGAAAAAAAAGAACCTACATTGTATAGTAAATATCTTACATTTGTATTGCAATTTATGGTTTGCATTTATTTCTTACAACTATAGAGGGGGTGTATTAATTAGAATTTTATTGGCTTCAAGTAACAAATACAATTTAATTAGCTTAAGCAAGAAGGAAAATTTAGCAGAACAGTATTTGTTAAAATTGAGGAATGCTCATTCTACCTTTACATTTTTTCATCTTTTTTTTTTTTTAGACAGGAGCCTCAAGCTGTCCCCCTGGGTAGAGTGCCGTCGCATCACAACTCACAGCAACCTCCAACTCCTGGGCTCAAGCAAGTCTCCTGCCTCAGCCTCCCAAGTAGCTGGGACCACAGGTG